GGAAAGAAAGGGGCTTTCTCCCCCCCCCCCCATTGTCAAGCACAAAACTAACCAGGAAGGGAGAGTGTAAAATTAGAAATGAAAAGGTAGAAACTCCCCCCCCCCGATTTTTAAGACAAATAGTAATACTCATAGACCTATATTGAATATTTAAGCACGTACGGCATTTCGAAAGAATGTTCAAAGAATGCAATACACATCCTACCCCAGGAGGACTTGTGCTTGTAGGGCTAAACTGGACAGTATTTTCTCTATGGAGTGTTATTGCCCCTCGGAGGGCTTGTCCCTATGGACTATTTTGGATTGTACCACCTTAAGTATTATCAGTCTGTGGCTGGTGTGACTGTATGATGTGCATTACATTCTTTTGAACGTTCTTTTGAAATGCGGCACGCAGGGGTCACTTTGTAGAAAAAGAGGTGCAGGCGCTCATTAGCATAACTCATTTGCATGTGCCACGCCCCCTGACATCACCGGAAGTGTGTCAGAAGGCAACACCCACCGCTCAGGCTCCACTGGACTGTTTTGGATTGCTAGCTTTCTTACCTGGCTGCTGCAACTTACCTGGCTGCTTCTTGCTCCTCATGGCCCAACTGAGGGCTGCTGGGAGCAGGGGGCGGGGCTTGTTGCATGTGCCCGCCCCCTGGGCTCCTTACTGCCGGAGCTCCGCTCCTGTGCGCTCCCGCAGGAAATAACCCCTGGCTGTACGAGTTTAAATAGTCAATATAGGTCTGAGTATTACTGTTTGTCTTTATTTGTCTATTTGTCTTTTTAAAAAAATTGGGGGGAGAGTTTCTACCTTTTCACTTCTAGACTTAAAACACTCTACCTTCCCGGTTAGTTTTGTACCACCTGAATATTGGCAGCCATACCTTTAAATCCAAAACTCAGTGGGCTTAAGCCGTGACCGTGTTTGATTTTGGCTTGGGGAAGCACCTGAGGCTAACCGCGTGCTCTCTGTCCCCGGCAGTCATCGAAGAGAAGGGCGTGAAGATGAAGCTGACGGTGACGGACACACCGGGATTTGGGGATCTAATTAACAATCAAAACTGGTATGAAAGAGCTCAGTATTTAAGGTCTCAGGGAGGTTCACGGCTTGCGCAAATAAATATATGGATAAACATACGGACTGGAGGTCCACGAGTGGCTGTTTGCCACAAGGTATAGAGGGAACTCTTATGTCTGGGGCAGGGATGCTCTGTCTCCTTGGTGCTTGGGGGGCAGCAGTGGGAGGGCTTTGGGAGTTCTCCCGCTGGTGGACCTCCTGACGGCGCCTGGGTTTTGGCCACTGTGTGGCACAGTGTGTTGGACTGGATGGGCCCTTGGCCTTATCCAACATGGCTTCTCTTACGTTCTTATGTATGGGGCAGTGATGCTGTCATCTTCTTGGTGCTTGGGGGGCAACAGTGGGAGGGCTTCTGGAGTTTTGGCCCCACTGGTGGACCTCCTGATGGCCCCTGGGTTATGGCCCCTGTGTGGCACAGAGTGTTGGACAGACTGGACCATTGGCCTGATCCAATATGGCCTCTCTTACGTTCGTATGTCTGGGGCAGTGATGCTCTGTTTGGTGTAGTGGTTAAGTGCGCGGACTCTAATCTGGGAGAACCCAGTTTGATTCCCCACTCCTCCACTTGCACCTGCTGGATGACCTTGGGCAAGCGATAGTTCTGATAATGAGCTGTTCTTGAAAAAGAGCCGTTTCTGTCAAGAGCTCTCTCAGCCCCACCCACCTCACAGGGTGTCTGTTGTGGGGAGGGGAAGGGAAAGGAGTTTGTAAGCCACTCTGAGACACCTTTGGGTAGTGAAGGGTGGGGTATAAATCCAATCTCCTCCTCCTCCTCTTCCTCTTCTTCCTCTTCCTCTTCCTTTTCTTCTTCTTCTTCTTGGTGCTTGAGAGGCAACAGCTACAAAGCCCTCCCACTGTTGCCCCCCCCAAGCACCAAAAATACAGAGCATCACTTGCCCCAGACTGAGAGTTCCTATCTATGCCTTGTGGCTAATATCCACTGATGAACCTCTGCTCCAGATGTTTGTCCAATCCCCTCTTGAAGCTGTTTCTGTGCCAGCTGCACAAAGGTCAGATCTACGGGCTGACCGCTGGGACAGATCACTGAAGGCTGGCCGCCGTCATCTAATAATCTGATAATATTCATTTATTAGTATTATTTAATGTCTAGCACATTTTAACGTTGGGAGTGTTTTACATGGTTTTAGGGTTATTTAAATTGCCTACCTGTGTGTTTTCCTTCTTTTACGTAAGCCGCCCTGAGCCAGCTTCGGCTGGGAAGGCGAGGTATAAATCTGATGAAATAAAGAAAGAAAGAAATGCATCCACGGCTTGTGCAAGAATGGGGGGAAAGACAAGCCACGGACGTTGCCGGAATGCTGTGAATGAATCGGGAAGGGGGCGTGGCTCCGTGGAAGAGCCTCGGGCATGCAGAAGGTTCAATCCCCGGCATCTCCAGTTAAAAGAATCCGGCGGTAGGCGAGGGGAAAGACCTCTGCCCAAGACCCCGGAGACCCACTGCCGGCCTGAGTAGGCTATACTGAATTTAATAGCCCAAGGGTCGGATTCAGTAGGAGGTAGCTTCATCCGTTCAGTGCGGGACTGCCTGTCCGAAACAGTTTTCCGGCTAGGCCGCAAGCTTCCCCCGATCTCACACCAACTCTCTCTCTGTGTCTCTCCCCTGCAGCTGGGAGCCGATCCTGGAGTACATCAACGACCAATACGAGCGCTACTTACGGGAAGAGACCCTCATCAACCGCAAGAGGAAAATCCCTGACACACGTGTCCACGCCTGCGTGTATTTCGTGCCGCCCACAGGCCACTGGTAAGCCGCAGAGGGGGGGGAGCGTCTGCCTGCCCGTCTAAGGAATGCAGCGATGCTGAGAGCGTCGGGGGGGGGGGCTTCTCGTCTCTGCCGTCTGCACTGGAGCACGCTGACGTTCCAGGACAGCTGCAAGACAGGGAGGGGGGACATTGAAGCCCGTCTCTCTGACCTCCGTAAATCCTATTAATGTGCCTCTTGGGCGCTGGAGATTTCACTAGGCGCCGCTTGCAAATGTCGGCCCCTTTCTCCGTAGCCGTAAGGGCTTGAACAGTGACCCAGTTTGGTGTCGTGGTTAGGCGCGTGGACTCTGATCTGGGAGAGCAGAGTTCGATTCCCCACTCCTCCACATGCAGCTGCTGGTGTGACCTTGGGTCAGTCACAAGTTCTCTCAGAGCGGGTTCTCTCAAGGGCAGTTCTCACAAGAGCTCTCTCACCTCCCTCACAGGGTATCTATGGGGAGGGGAAGGGAAGGAGATTGTAAGCTGCTGTGAGACTCCTTTGGGTAGTGAAGGGCAGGGTATACACCCAACATCTCCTCCTCCTCCTCTTCTTCTTTTGAACACATGAAGCTAATAATAATGAACTATTTATGTATTTGATTTATAACCCGCCCTATCCCACGGGTAGCAGTGTGTGTAGTATAGCCAGGAGATCCTAAGATTGTCCGGCAGCCAGCAGTTCTAGCTCTTTTTGGCATTGTGCTCCACTAGGTGCTGAGCTAGGCTTATTTTTAAGGCAAGAGACGTTTCAGAGGGGGTTTGCCATTGCCTGTCTCTGTGTCACGCTCCTGGTATTCCTTGGAGGTCGCCCATCCAAGTACTAGTCAGGGCCAACCCTGCTTAGCTTCCAAGTTCTGACGGGATCGGGCCAGCCTGGGCCATCCATATGAAGCTGCCTTCTACTGCACCAGACCATCAGTCCATCAAGGTCCGTATTGTTTACTCAGACTGGCAGCGGCTCTCCAGGGACTTTCACATCACCCGCTACCCAATCCCTTTAGTTGGAGATGCCGGGGATTGAACCTGGGACCTTCCGCATGCCAAGCAGAGGCTCTGCCACTGAGCCACAGCCCCTCTTTACAGCTCTCCGGGGTCTCAGGCTGAGGTCTCTCCCATCACCTCCTGCCTGGTCCTTTTAACTGGAGGTGCCGGGGATTGAACCTGGGACCTTCCACATGCCAAGCAGAGGCTCTGCCACTGAGCCACGGCCCCTCCCCAAGGAGGAAGGACAAGACTGAGGTATGTCCCTAGACACACTTGCAGGGAAGATGCAGAGCAGGCAGTCAGCTCCAGGAAAGGAACCCCTCTTCACACCAGCCCCCCCCCCTCCGGTGTACCTTCCCAGTCATCCGAGCCTTTGGGTTTCCACGGAGAGGCCCTCCGGGGCCGCTGGAAGGGGCTCGTGCCTCGCATACCTCAGTACCTGCCAGGAATCTCTGTCATTTTTAATTAAAATGAAGCCTTCCAAAGGAACTGCCAGGCGGCGTGCTCTCCCTTCCCTTCCCCTCTGCCCGGCCCTGCCCGGGGAGACGTGCGGGTGTGGCCGGCCCCGATCCCTGGTTTTGAACGTCTGTCCCGCAGCTGCTGCTCTCCTCCTTCAAAGCAGGGGTGAGAAGGTTGGCGCGATCCTGGAGGAACGGGAGGTTTTCGGGGTGGAAGGTGGGCTTCTCCGAGGGGGGGGCACGAATAGTGGCTGGCGGAGGACGAAGCTGTCCCCAACCCCCTCGTGGCATGGAGGGCCAAGAGGAGACAAAGGGAAGTCCCCACTCTACCCCACTGGGGAGGGGCTGTGGCTCAGTGGCAGAGCCTCTGCTTGGCATGGAGAAGGTCCCGAGTTCAGTCCCCAGCAACTCCAGCTAAAAGGAGCAGGTGTCAGGCGATGTGAAAGACTTCAGCCTGAGACCCTAGAGAGCTGTAAAGAGGGCCTGTGGCCTTCCTTCCTTGAGCCTGTTTTTGGCAGAGCCTCTGCTTGGCATGGAGAAGGTCCCGAGTTCAGTCCCCAGCAACTCCAGCTAAAAGGAGCAGGTGTCAGGCGATGTGAAAGACTTCAGCCTGAGACCCTGGAGAGCTGTAAAGAGGGCCTGTGGCCTTC